CCACTTGCTTTTTTAGGCCTTTTTTTTTTTTTTTACTTGTAACAAAACCTTTACCCCTTGTTATGAGTTCTGCTTTTGTTTCCATTGCCCTCCACCCACTTTGGGGATGAGCTCCCAGAGCAAAATTTTAGCACCCCTCTGGATGACATGCTGAATCAAGCTTCAGGAATAGGGGTGGGTGCTCACAGGGTTGTCACCCACGACAAGTTAAATGGCAGTTGTCACATCTCAAGCATTAACAGAAGCAGGGTGTGTGAACATACACATACTGATTTTGAGGTAAAATGGGGGCTTCACTCATTGGTTTAAAGGCAAAGGCAACTTAACTCACCACAGGCAAAGTGGTAAAGATATCATTGCTTCAGTACTTGGTGGACAGTGACTGGTTTCTACTTAAGTCCCTAATCGCCCTATTTTTAAGCTGTCAATATATTTACTCAGAATATCTACATATCCATATACATATATATATACAGTGGTGTGAAAAAGTGTTTGCCCCCTTACTGATTTCTTATCTTTTTGCATGTTTGTCACACTGTAATGTTTCAGATCGTCAAACAAATTTATATATTAGTCAAAGATAACACAAGTAAACACATCATGCAGTTTTTAAATGAAGGTTTTTATTATTAAGGGAAAACAAAATCCAAAACTACAAAGCCCTGTGTGAACAAGTGTTTGCCCCCCTGTCAAAACACTGGTTTATCGCACCTGAGTTCAATTTCTCTTGCCACACCTGTTCGCAATCAAGAAATCACTTAAATAGGACCTGCCTGACAAAGTGAAGTAGACCAAAAGATCCTCAAAAGCTAGACATCATGCCGAGATCCAAAGAAATTCAAAAACAAATGAGAAAGAGAATAATGGAGCTCTATCAGTCCGGAAAAGGTTATAAAGCCATTTCTAAAGCTTGGGGACTGCAGCGAACCACAGTGAGAGCCATTATCCACAAATGGCGAAAACATGGAACAGTGGAGAACCTTCCCAGGAGTGGCCAGCCGACCAAAATTACCCCAAGAGCGCAGCGACAACTCATCCAAGAGGTCACAAAAGACCCCACAACAACATCCAAAGAACTGCAGGCCTCACTTGCCTCAGTTAAGCTGAGTGTTCATGACTCCACCATAAGAAAGAGACTGGGCAAAAATGGTTTGCATGGCAGAGTTCCAAGACGAAAACCACTGCTGAGCAAAAAGAACATAAAGGCTCGTCTCAGTTTTGCCAGAAAACATCTTGATGATCCCCAAGACTTTTGGGATAATACTCTGTGGACAGACGAGACAAAAGTTGAACTTTTTGGAAGGTGTGTGTCCCATTATGTGTGGCGTAAAAGTAACACCGCATTTCAGAAAAAGAACATCATACCAACAGTAAAATATGGTGGTGGTAGTGGGATGGTCTGGGGCTGTTTTGCTGCTTCAGGCCCTGGAAGACATGCTGTGATAAGTGGAACCATGAATTCTGCTGTGTACCAAAATATCCTGAAGGAGAATGTCCGGCCATCCGTTTGTGACCTCAAGCTGAAGCGAACTTGGGTTCTGCAGCAGGACAATGATCCAAAGCACACCAGCAAGTCCACTTCTGAATGGCTGAAGAAAAACAAAATGAAGACTTTGGAGTGGCCTAGTCAAAGTCCTGACCTGAATCCAATTGAGATGCTGTGGCATGACCTTAAAAAGGCAGTTCATGCCCGAAAACGCTCCAATGTGGCTGACTTACAACCATTCTGCCAAGATGAGTGGGCCAAAATTCCTCCACAGCGCTGTAAAAGACTCATGGCAAGTTATCGAAAATGCTTGATTGCAGTTGTTGCTGCTAAGGGTGGCCCAACCAGTTATTAGGTTTAGGGGGCAAACACTTATTCACACAGGGCTATATAGTTTTGGATTTTGTTTTCCCTTAATAATAAAAACCTTCATTTAAAAACTGCATGATGTGTTTACTTGTGTTATCTTTGACTAATATATAAATTTGTTTGACGATCTGAAACATTACAGTGTGACAAACATGCAAAAAGATAATAAATCAGTAAGGGGGCAAACACTTTTTCACACCACTGTATGTAAACTAAAGCAGAGAAATTCCCAACTGATATTACCTGATGCAGTTCTCTGGGTCATCATGACAATCAACATCACATCGAAAGCGCTCCCAAGCCATCCATCCCATAGGCGGAGTCTTCAGCAATCCATTGTCCATGGCCACTGTCAGTGAGATCAGGCCAAGGAACTGTGTTACTGCTAAGGGTCTCATTTCTGAAAGAAGACATGAAAATTAAAGATTTACTTAACTTTTACTCAAATTCATAAACACTCATACATAATGTTATGGTTTTCAAACTGGTGAGGATTTAGTTTTTCATTTTTTGAGTTTTACTGTCTACAGACTTTGACTTGAACTTGAGATAGCAGTTATAAAATGATTTGCCATATTTTCAAATGATTTTCTATGCTCTCAAGGACCCTGGTGATATTAGTGCCCAGGTGATCAGACCGCATCAGAGAGATATAAAGTAGGGATGGAAATCTACAGGCTTGCTGGCTATCATGTGTTGAGGCCTGGGGCAAGAGTTCATGGGGTCTTCAGGGTTACCGCTGCGTGCAGGACTGGCTGGAGAGCTACCTGCATGACAGCAGAATGTTTATGATCCCATCTCTTGTAACACAAGGAAGGTCAAGATGACTGAGCCTGCCGACCCTTTGTTTTTTTGTGGAATATCTGAGACAAAATGGCCGGTGGGACTACTGTGTACAGGTCTCAAGATGCATTGTTCATAGAGACTACACAGTAGCACCTCTTGTAATTACATTGGGGATAACATGCTGTCAAACCATGTGCCCCGGTGGATTATTAGTATAATAATATTACTGATAAAAGATGAGAATAAATACTAAAATCATAAACCAATACTTTTAGGACATGTGACATGTATTAACACGAATATGTTAATATACAATGAATTGTGTAGAAAATATAGACTATGTTTTGAAACAAACAAAGGGATAGATGAATACACGCTTGTGCTTTCACCTATATAAATAAATTCCCTTATAGTGAACAACCTATGTGACTGTTATAGTGAGCCATACGGGGTCTTTACAGGGTATGAACCATTCTCTAGAAAAAACACATCTGGACATGTTACAACCTCTTGTAAAATACCTCAAGATTAATGAGCCCTGCGTAGAACAGAAAACCATTCTAAATCATAACTGTCAAACAACAATTCAGACAGCCTGTAACAAAAACATATAGTGAAATAAATGTTGTGTAATTTTGGTTTGTAGAAGCAATGCTTTGTAGAGGTTAACATTTAACAGGCGGAGGAAAGCACTGTTATTATAATGTAAAACTAACACTATGACTAACTGTTGTAAATAATTTGTTTCAAATGTTTGCAGGATGCCGTGGAGTTGCTTTTATATGTCTGATTACGTGTTCCATGTTTGTCATGATGTTTACCTGTTTGTGCTGTCCCATGTTCGTTGTGTTGTATAAATATGGCTGATTGAGATTGAATAAGCTAAATGCCCGCTATAAATGTGTCTAGATTGGTTTGAAGAAACAATCTAAGTTAAAGCTGTCGAGCAAGGTCTGTACTGTTTATGGTTCGAAGAGCATTAAAGAGCATTAAAATGAATTAGCTTGACCACGGGGTTGTGGATATGAACGGGATTTATTCAGATATTCCTTTGGGGAAGAGTCCCCACTTCAAAGCGCTTTGTGTACACATATAAAGTCCGGACTTCTATGGGTGTTTAAATGCTTGTTGCTTGGTGGCCACTGTGAGTGTGATGTGTGACTGAAAAAAGTTAGGGACAGAGGTATGCATGACTGAAAACTTTGTGTGTGTGAAATAAAATATATTTAATTAAAAGAAACTCAGTGTTTCGGAAACCCGACAGTGAATACCACATGGTGATAACAAAGTGGTTCGAACTCCAAAAGAGATAACTGGGGACGCAAAATATATGAACTACATAAATGAAAACAAAAAGAATATCAAAAACTTAACAGAACGGGAAAAGAAATATGGGTTTAAACGTCAACTAACGCAGGCCGACTGCGCTAAATTAGTCCAACAAATAGGAAAACAGATTTTTAGACCCAACAAAGACCAGAAGCTCCGCCCAAAACCAGTCCAGGACCCCGCCTCACCTGATCAAGGCAAGGAAAGCCTGCCTTAAATCACTGCAACAACGCTGATGCGCCACTATATATATTGTACAAACCACATGAATATTTAGCCCTGAAAAGAAAACCAGTTCCATGGAACATCTGTGGCCAATACACTGTCTCTGATTAAATTTTTATTTGAGAGGTTGTCAGACCCAAACCTACAGTTTCCTTACAAAGACATTAAGCAAATCATCAGACACTTCATGATAATTTAGAATTTGCCAAACATGCAAAATGCCATTTTAAGAAACAAGCTAAAAGAAGTTTGCAACAGTTGTGTTAATAGCTCCCTAGGGGAGAAGTTTCTGCTGTTTTAATTCCAGAAGGAACAGCGTCATGGCGATCACACGGAAGGAGACACAAAATGGTGGAAAACAGGACTGGACTGGTCAGGAGCAGACAGGTCAGAGGTCCACATACAGTGCCTTGCGAAAGTATTCGGCCCCCTTGAACTTTGCGACCTTTTGCCACATTTCAGGCTTCAAACATAAAGATATAAAACTGTAATTTTTTGTGAAGAATCAACAACAAGTGGGACACAATCATGAAGTGGAACGAAATTTATTGGATATTTCAAACTTTTTTAACAAATAAAAAACTGAAAAATTGGCCGTGCAAAATTATTCAGCCCCCTTAAGTTAATACTTGGTAGCGCCACCTTTTGCTGCGATTACAGCTGTAAGTCACTTGGGGTATGTCTCTATCAGTTTTGCACATCGAGAGACTGAAATTTTTGCCCATGCCTCCTTGCAAAACAGCTCGAGCTCAGTGAGGTTGGATGGAGAGCATTTGTGAACAGCAGTTTTCAGTTCTTTCCACAGATTCTCGATTGGATTCAGGTCTGGACTTTGACTTGGCCATTCTAACACCTGGATATGTTTATTTGTGAACCATTCCATTGTAGATTTTGCTTTATGTTTTGGATCATTGTCTTGTTGGAAGACAAATCTCCATCCCAGTCTCAGGTCTTTTGCAGACTCCATCAGGTTTCCTTCCAGAATGGTCCTGTATTTGGCTCCATCCATCTTCCCATCAATTTTAACCATCTTCCCTGTCCCTGCTGAAGAAAAGCAGGCCCAAACCAGGATGCTGCCACCACCATGTTTGACAATGGGGATGGTGTGTTCAGGGTGATGAGCTGTGTTGCTTTTACGCCAAACATAACGTTTTGCATTGTTGCCAAAAAGTTCGATTTTGGTTTCATCTGACCAGAGCACCTTCTTCCACATGTTTGGTGCGTCTCCCAGGTGGCTTGTGGCAAACTTTAAACAACACTTTTTATGGATATCTTTAAGAAATGGCTTTCTTCTTGCCACTCTTCCATAAAGGCCAGATTTGTGCAGTATACGACTGATTGTTGTCCTATGGACAGAGTCTCCCACCTCAGCTGTAGATCTCTGCAGTTCATCCAGAGTGATCATGGGCCTCTTGGCTGCATCTCTGATCAGTCTTCTCCTTGTATGAGCTGAAAGTTTAGAGGGACGGCCAGGTCTTGGTAGATTTGCAGTGGTCTGATACTCCTTCCATTTCAATATTATCACTTGCACAGTGCTCCTTGGGATGTTTAAAGCTTGGGAAATCTTTTTGTATCCAAATCCGGCTTTAAACTTCTCCACAACAGTATCTCGGACCTGCCTGGTGTGTTCCTTGTTCTTCATGATGCTCTCTGCGCTTTAAACAGACCTCTGAGACTATCACAGTGCAGGTGCATTTATACGGAGACTTGATTACACACAGGTGGATTCTATTTATCATCATTAGTCATTTAGGTCAACATTGGATCATTCAGAGATCCTCACTGAACTTCTGGAGAGAGTTTGCTGCACTGAAAGTAAAGGGGCTGAATAATTTTGCACGCCCAATTATTCAGTTTTTTATTTGTTAAAAAAGTTTGAAATATCCAATAAATTTCGTTCCACTTCATGATTGTGTCCCACTTGTTGTTGATTCTTCACAAAAAATTACAGTTTTATATCTTTATGTTTGAAGCCTGAAATGTGGCAAAAGGTCGCAAAGTTCAAGGGGGCCGAATACTTTCGCAAGGCACTGTAAAAATTACTGCAGGTAGTGCAATGTAGGCCTAACTTCACAAAGGTTTATTCAGCTACTGTACAATGCTGACAAAATACTAAAGTACAGCTAAAGCTTATATATGTAAGGCTCCTGACAAAGGATCTCCCAGTTCTCCCAGGTCATTTTTCACAGAAACACCTTTTTATATTACAGTCCACACCAACAACACAGTAGTTTTGGAAAATAACTAAGTACATTTACTCAAGCAAGCTCCTGGTACTGATGGTACACCTCTTTGTTTTGCCTAGATTGTTCAACTAAGGAAGAAATGAAACCATATTACAAACATCTGATACAGTGGCTGTGAATGGTTGTTAGATCCACTCAGACACAGAGGTGAGCGAGTCAAAAAAAGGACGGACCCAGGTGGCTGACTTCAGTGCAAGTAGTGCTCGGTTTATTTACAGTGATATCTTACAAGGAAGTGAATGACCAGGTTGAAGTGGGACCGGGTGTCAAGCCGCAGAAGGTGAATAACAGTCAGTGGTGGAATGATGAGGGAAAGGCCAGGCTGCGGACGCTGGGACTCACTGCTGGGCTGGTCGTGGTGGAAGGTTGCTGAGGAGACAGAGTTAGTACATGCAGTTAATGGGAGACTGTGCATCGACCTGCGTGCTGGAGATGGTGCGGGATTGAGGAGGTTCGTGGTCCGGAGAAGCAACAGAGGCGAGGAGGCTGAGACAATGGGGCACAAGACTGGAACGGGGCTAGGGCGACAAAAACGTGAGTACAATATAAAGCTAAGAACAACGAGAAACTCATTAAGCACATGAGATGCTGCACTGAAGAGTCTCTCACCGCTGACATGCTTTGTCGTTCATGGGAGACGCGTGATATAACAGCTCCAGCGTGAGTGAAACCTAACCTGTGCTGCGCCAGGATATGATGGGCGAGGCGGGGCATTTTCGGCGAGTTTTTTTTTAATTCCGGCCCGAAATAAAAATGGCCTTTTCAGCCGAAAATTTTCAGTGGCCGAAATTTCGGTGCACCCCTAGTCTTAACT